CTGCAAAGTTTTGGGGGACGTGTTTCCAAACAGACACAAGTGATTGTAAAATATGATCAGAGTGAATGCAAGGGCAGAATGAGAGTGCCTTAAATATTCTGAGAAATTTGGGGGGAAATATTCAAAACATGAATGCAACTATCCTTAATTAAAAATAAGCCACTCAAATGGGCCTGATACCTCCTGTGTGTGATGGGCCAGCCCAAGCTCTCCAACCTCACATAGGAATCACTGAGCCACCTCACAGCAGGAGCACCAGAAAGGAAGGTGGTTGCCCCTGTGATGCTGTAAAGCGACCTCTCTCACAATAACAGCATTGTTTACCTACCAGAGTCACCCACACTGCTCTTGGAATCATGTCTTGATCCCTGTGATGTGGAACTGTTTTAGAAATTATGAGGAAAGTGCAGCAGGAATTGTGGCATCCAAAGCCTGGACTGATTCTCAGTGATGACCAAAATCTAGGCAGGATGCAGGAACACAGCATAATGTTCTTTCCATTATTTTCAACCTTCTATTTCCTATCTTCTCAAATATTTTAAATTTACCATGGCTATTAATTTTTAAACTGAAATAAATTGGAGAGACAACAAAGAAAACAATCACATTTAATGAGTGGTAAGTTTGTGAGGGGAACTTTCTATAACGTATGTTTAACTGAACTTCTAAATCGCTTTTGGGACAAGAATTCATAATCTTATTTTAAAGATCAGAACACTGAACTGTGGGAATGGTGGGCATTTACCTGAATGTGCCAAAAATAACTGATGAAGAAAAATGAAGCCCACATTTGACAGACTCAAAGCAACTTGCAGTACTGTATGTCATGATTCAAAGTGTTCTCCAGTGAAACTAAGAAAGTAAACTGCTTTGACACATAATTATAAATATCTTATCCATTTATGTAGTAAACAAGCTTTAAGAGTATGTTTTCCTACTTTTCTGTTTACATCTTAAGTACAACAATATTTTGACCTTCTCAATGGGGTAGATGGTACCTGCCCTATTGCTGGCCTCCCCGGAAATTTGTTCCTAGGGAGAGGTCTTTCTATGTCAGTAACTACAATAACAACTTAAGGTACATAAGAAATGTAACACATATTATCACAGGCCATTCTCACAGCCCAGCATGGTGGGTTAAAACTTCATACATTCACACATCCATTCATTCCCTGTGCCTTACATATTTATTTTTTTTTTTTCTACTTGCTGTGCCTCAAACTGTGCTAGACTTTTAGACACATGGAGACAGAAAGAATTGTTTCTGGCCTAAAGGCATTCGCAGATCTGTGCAAAAGCTACTGATTATAAGGAAAGTAAGACAATATTGAATTTACTTAACAATAATTGAATTTACATAACAATAATAAAGATTCTCAGGGAAAAATTAAATATTTTTAAAAATAGAGTTATCAGAAGACATACTTTTAAAAACACTAATTTTCCTCCATTATGTTTCCTTCATTCCCTGTTTGATAGCCTTAAATTCTCTGGACCTTATGTTACAAGAAAAAGTGTGCATGGTGGACGATAATCAGTCTCACCATCACAGTCACCCTACTCATCAAAGTATTCTTTATAACAAAAACAGAGATTTCTGAAATGGTCCTAGAATAAAACAAAGGAAGATAATGTTCATCAATTTTTTTTTTTTTTTTTTTTGTCTTTTTCAGTTTTTTTCGGTACCAGGGATCGAACTCACGACCGCCTGCTTGCAAGGCAGGTGCTTATGCCGCTGAGCTAAATCCCCAGCCCCTCATCAATTATTTTTGCACATCATTGTCACAAGCATCCTTGAATCAGACACTGTACTGAGTGACTCCTTAGCACTTGGCACTGATCTCTGGCCACCACCCGAAAACTGTGGGCTCTTTCCAGTCTCGAAGAGACCACATTCTCAGTCCTGTTTCATCTATGGTCAGTTAGCAGGTGTTAGATGGGTGAAAGAAGCAGGTGGGGCAGGATGGGGTCTTCCCTTCCCTGGAGTCAGTTACCAAGAGCAAGGTGGAGCCATGGCCCAAGCCTCAGTGACACCATTTGCCACATGACAATCAATGGGGCACGTCTCAGGCTGAGGCCCCATGGGAAGAATCAAGAGTTGGACAGTTAGTTTGCTTGCTTGCCTGCATGTTTTCATGGTATTGGGGACTGAACCTAGGGCCTTTGCATCCAGTTACATTCTCCAATATTTTTTGATTTTCTATTTTGAAACAAGGTCTCCCTAAATTGTTAAGTGGTTCAGCCTGGGTGCAAACTTGCAACCCACTACTCAGCCTTCTGGAGTGCTGGGATTACAATCATGGGCCAGCACACCTGTCCTCCAAAGAGTTTTGAATCCTGAGACAAATTACAGTCTGAGGATCAAGAGGGCAGAAAGTGGGAGGTCACTATCCATGCACAGTTGAATATAAAACACATTGATTAATCAGACAAGACATGGCTTAGCGAAGCCAAGAGTCAAGAATATGAATAACTGATGAAGTCAGAGGCAGACACAGTGGCCGGTGTGTGCTTAGGCTGCCTTGGGCCTAGGAAGACCGAGGAGTTCACACAAGATAGGCTGTGCATCTTTCAAGGTGAACCACGTGAGAATGTCTACAGAACAGTAAGGTAGGAGCCTTAGGACAGGTGCAGGAGGGAAGGGTGATGGGAGGGGAAGCAGATGTGAGGGGATGACAGGAAGGTTTACATGCCAGCTTTTCCTGTGTCTTTGAACAGCCTGATTGATCTTAGGTGTCATCAGTGACAGCATCCTCTGCAGACCCTCCCTGGCATCAGGGAGCCCAAAGACCCCAGTCTGTCATAACCACCCTGCTTACTGGCCTCTCACTGGTCTCAGGGTGGGAGTTTTCTCCTAAGACAACTCTGAAACCATGATTTTCTTGGACACAGCCAAGAGTGCTGCACACAGAGAGTGAAATGGCATGTGAGGCCTTCTGAGATGTTTCTGTCAACCACAGGGACCTAACTGAGTTTGCAGAGATCTGAGAACTGAAGGTAGAGAGACAGCAGAGGGACTTGGGGAGGATCACACAGGGGCTCGGAAAGGTGTCCTCTGCCCCTATATTTGTCATCTGTAGGAGAAGAACCAGATCCTAGGATCCCCTTAAACTGCCTAAAATCTGGACTGTGGCCTTTTTCCAAGGAAAGCCAAGCTTGGGTAACATAAGTGAAGATATTAGGAATCACCCTGCTGCCCACAAGTGCATTTGGTGAAATAGCATCACCTTGAAGCAGGGAGTGAAGTAAATTGCAGCGTTTACAAGCCAAGGCAAATGTTCAAAGAGTGCTCGGCACAAAGAACAGATGGCCGATGGGAAGCCAGCGTGCATTCTGCCAACACCCACAAAATGCAGATTTCTTAAGTGCTTGAAGGCTGTTTATGGTCTGAGCACCCAAGAATTGACCCCTTTAAGCTCCTGGGATGAGGAAACTGTCTTAAAGTGTGAGCACTGCATGCTGGATCCCATGATTTTGCATCCTTCTTCCAGGGAATTGTTTTGTTTTTGTATTTTTATTAAGATTGAACCCAGGGCCTCTGCCCAGAGATACATTCCCATCCCTGTTCTGAGAACAGGGAATCTCACTAAATTGTCCAGGAGGGACTTGAATTTAGGGTCCTCCTGCCTCAGCCTCCCAAGTGCTGGGATTACAGGCATGCACTGCTGTGCCCTGCTAGGAATTGTGGAGTGTTTTTTATTAAAGCTTTAATTTATTGGTACAGGTTTGAAGTACAGAGTGATTACACTCCTTGTGGGGAGTTGGTACATGTACATAATACATCTTAATTCTTCTATGAATGTGTCACCTCTGGCTTGTAAAAGTCAGTCAGACTATTCTACCTTTTGGTATAATGTGATGATCGGCCTGCTTCAACCCAAGGCAAAACCAAGAAAGGATCTCCTGTTATTCTTAGCTCTGGATCCCAGGAATTTACCCACACCCTAGAATCTTGTGACTGCACATGTGTCTTTAAAACTTCAATTATAGATGCTCCAGAGGGAGTTTTTACTGCATTTTTCTTTTTTTTTTTTTTTTTTTTTTTTGTCTTTTTCATTTTTATCGGTACCGGGGATCGAACTCACGACCGCCTGCTTGCAAGGCAGGTGCTTATGCCGCTGAGCTAAACCTCCAGCCCCTTTACTGCATTTTTCAGCTCTCAGAAACAGTTCTGTGAAATTATAATTTTAACTACTTCTTCCATATTTAGTGAAGTGTTTAGAGTAAGCACTCACCCTGGAAGGGCTCCTGCAGTAAACTCTTAGAAAAACAGATACATCAGATTGCCAATAGTCAACCAAGGAGAAAATAAGGAGACAGAATATATTTTCATTGAAATGTTCACATTCACTTATTTCTGATTTCTTTATTTTCTCATAGTAAGATATTTTGTTGAAAACTGCATATACATTGCCAAAATTAAGAATTATTCTATATTCCTTCCAAAATCCAAATCAAGTTTTAAAACAATACATGATGAAAAAAGTTATCATGTTAATCATGTGAGAATTGGTTCATTTTTCTTCTTTTCAAAGAATCTATTTTGGAGCCTACATGAATGAGTATTTTCTAAGATGGACAGACAAGTAGAGGAATAGACAGGTGACAGAGTGAATGGGTGAGCAGGTGGATGAATGGATGCATGGATAGGTACGTGGGGGGTTGGTGGATAATATTTGGCTGAAGTTACAAATAAGTACTTATCTTTCAGAGACATACACCATCACATGAAGAATAATATCCTTTTCTAAAAGGAAAGATAGCAAAACTACACAGGACATTTCATTTTCAGAGAATACATTTGCATGTACAATCTCATTGTCACATAGAGATTCTAAAGTTAATGTATTGAGAGAAAAGATTATTTTGGTTTTCGTTTTGTTTTGTTTTTTGGTACTGGGGATTGAATGGGAAAAGATCATTTACCACATTCAGTCTTGGTTTAATTATTAAATTGATAGATAATCTTAAAACCATCCTGAAGCCACTATGTCACTTACCCTGGGAGCTGGCTGCTGAAATTCTTCTTGTGCTTGAGATGGACATGGTACTGGTTCCAGAGAAGATATCTGAATTTGTTTAAAAGAAAAATCAATCTCAATTCTGAAGGCAGATAAGCACCAAGGTCTGTTGAGTAGAATATGTCACATTGCATTTCACAAAAATAATATTTAGGTACATTACAGTGAATTTCAGTATTTCTGAAACTATATATTCTTTTTTTTTTTTTTTGTACCAGGGATCAAACTCACAACCTCGTACTTTCCAGGCAGGCACTTACACTGCTGAGCTAAACCCCAACCCTAAAATAATATATTCTTAGTATTTCTTGAGTACTGACATAACGTCTCCCTATTCAAATACATATAGTAAATGTATCTGTCTAGATTCTCTGCAAATGCCTAACAATAATAGATGCCCAAATTGTATTCTTATTTTGTTCTATTTTTATATGAAAGTCATTTTTTGGTTTTTAAAATTGTTCTTATAAGTGGATACTAGAAATTACAGTGTATACAATATATAGTTACTTACACATACTTATTTATTGCTTCTCAGAATACCTAGATAAACTTTTGGAATAACTGCCTGGTCACAATCAGGATAAATTGGCTATCAAGCAAAATATCTTATAGCTAGAAAAGTTGAACTAATATTTCTACAATTTCAGGTTCATTGAAAACTGGGTTAAGTCAAATTAGTTTATATTTAATGTGATTATGATTGCTTTGCCTTTTCACTTTGGAAGAGCAAAAAGATTTTGATTCCCTATAGATCAATAGCAAATATTGTTTCCACTTACACGGAAGAAATTGAAGCTCTCCACAATAACTAGCCACTAAAAAAGGCGAGTGTAATGTAACTGAGTTCATCATTAAATTATAAAGCCCCCAAACTATGGAAATATAAGCAAAAATAAAACTTTGAAAGAAGCGAAAAATAACAAGAGTAAGAAATGCCCAGTAATGATTGCCCCAAAAACTTCTTCATGTGTTTCTATATTTCTTGCTTCTAAAATATTGGCCATTTGTTAACCCTGCTATCATAGCCCACTATCACAGTAATTTATCTTTTCTTCTATCCTTACTGAAAACATCAGCAAATATCCCTGTAGTATTATAGAAATTACAAGCTCTTCCTTCCACATTTATGGACCATGTTCATAACAAAGTGGTATAGACTGCACTTTTGAAGTACAGCTCAGTATTTAAGGTTTATAACACACTTCAAAGGAGTGAATTCTTCTTCTCAGGTCTAATCTGATGTTGCCTTAAAACCAAAGCAGCTAAAGCAAAAGATTCAACCCTGGAGATCCACTGAAGATTGAGAGCCAGGCTGGAATTGTTGTTCAGTGGTAGAGCATTCATGAGGTCCTGTCTTCATAACATTCCTGGCATTCATGAGGTCCTGTCTTCAAGTATCAAAACATACGATAACATTTTTATGAGTTTTAATCTTAAAATTAGCATGTTCTTACATACAGACCAGAAAGGGGCAGGAGGCTCTTGATAGTAATCACCACCTAGGCACATGTAAGGCAGATAATGACCTCAATTCACAACTCAACACTAGTTTAACAAGGGTGGGGAAATCTGACCTGAGTACCATTCCTAATGGGCTCCTGTCTTCTGGAAAGGAGGATCTGGGAAGTGTCACCCTGGGTTAGAGTGCAAAGTAAAGAAGACTGTCACAGAAAAAAGCTACCTGGTAATGAGTCAACATCAGGCAATCAGTCATTAACAGATCCAGAAGCTTGGGGGCTGGGGATTTAGCTCAGTGCTATAAGTGCCTGCCTTGCAAGCCTGGGGTCGTGAGTTTGATCCCTGGTACCAGTAAAAACACAAAAAACAAAAAACAAAAAAATCTTCCATTAACAGATCCAGAAGTTGCCAGTTAATTAAATCTGGACATTCAAATGCTTGTGGTGAGTTTTGTATACAGAACTGTGGTTCTCAAATTTGGGCCTGTTGGGCGACAGCATTAGTGCCTGCGTGGCAAACATGAGGTCATGAGTTCAATTCCCACTACAAAAAAAAAAAAAAAAAAAAACTTGGCCCTGCAACAGAATCTCCTGGGGAGAGGGGTCCGTTTAAAACCATTCAATAAGCTGGGCACAGTGCCACACTGCTCAAGACCTACTCAGCTGCTCTCCTGGGAAACTTAGTGAAGCCCTATCTCCAAATAACAAATTAAAAGGGATGGGGATGTAATTTAATGTTACAATACCTCTGATTTAATCACCAATGTCACAACAAACAAACAAACAAAATCTCTGTTTGCTGCCTGCCACCCCAGAGTTTCAGATTAGTAGGTGGTAGGCCTGGGAATCTGCATCTCAACAGATTTCCAGAGGCATTTATTCTAGACCACTAGTGGTAAACTATGGGATTTTCCCTTTGGTAATGGTAAAGGATCTATCCCAGTACACTTAAGGAACCTCAAATTCTTGAACACAGCACATCTGTGCTCTCAGTAGTTCACTACATCGTTTCCCTTGCAAAGAGGAACCTGCTTGGCTTGGCGGGGTGGGGGTGGCGGTTGTAAATGTGTGAAGGCCAGGACTCTAGGTTGCTGTTGCACTTTACATATGCTCATTATCTGGCAGAAAAGAGCTTCTGTTTGCAGCAGAATTACCAGTGATCCAATCTGACATCCTCAGAGTGTTCTCTAACAGTCAAAAAGATGACTCCGCCTGCAGAAGGCAAGAGCCTTGTGAACACACCCTGATCCTGCAGAAATATTGATGAGGTAATGGTGAGGATTTAAGAGCTATTGAAATTGTTCTTCCAATATAATTGGCCACTCTCCCACTGTGTGTCTTTGCTGGGAGTAGTTCCAACAGTGGATAGCCATTTGTGGGGTGTTTTCGTGCGCGACAAAATCTCGATTTCTCTACTGGCAGCACCACTCACACTATGTCTGAGCCTTTGGAGGTGAGAGGTGGCCACACCGATGGGACAAAGCTGCTCAGGTGCTGGCCACCATCCTTGTAGTCAGGTCTCAGCACATCACAGATACTCCAGCATATGGAGAATTTGAATAACACAGCAGAACTGAGGCTATTGGTCAGATTTCATCTAGCACTTTACACCAGCGACTGTGACCATGCATCCTCTCAAATCACATCATCCTGAACCACATGCTTTCCTGAGACACTGTAAACCTGTACCAGCAAAAACCTATAAACTGCATATGATGGGACCCCATCACATCAATGTGTGTGAACCCCATTTTCTCTCTCGCTGCTTTAGATGCACTCCTCCAAAGCAGAGCTGGCTGGGCTCACTGCATTGTCCTGCGTGTTGACAGTTGCGAGGGCAATCACCTCAAACTCATTTTGGATTTAATTTCAAGTGGCACTTCTACTCTTTTCATGTGAGGATCCTGGCCTCCTTTGGGTTTATTTTTTTCTCACCTTTCTGTGAAGTCTCCTCCCCAGGCAGCTCCTGAGCCCCGTGCATGCAGAGCAGCAGATGCAGGGGCAGATGTGGGGAGCTTGCCACCGCCCAGGGCCAGCTGGATTAAAGGCAGTGGCTTCCTCACAGTTTGGTGTGAGCTGCACCAGCCTTCTTGGGTTAAAACCAATTGCAAATTCACCTGAGGGTCCTTCACAGAGGGTTTATGGGAAGATACATGGAGCAAAGCGCAACGGCCATGAAGTCTTTCAGCCTTCAAACTCACTCTAAGTCATTTCATCCATAGATACTGATATGGAACCAGTGGGTCCCTAGTCACTGGTCAGAGAGAGGGGGCTTCTCTATGCACTGTCTACACAGCTGAAAATTCCCTACTCTTCCTCACAGGAACACACACTCTTCAGTCAGGCCTGTGGGTTTATAGATAGGATGTGTTTGGATCCAAGATTCACTCTCTATTCACCTGTTTACCCCCAGCAAGCATGTTATCAGAATGTCTTAATTTCCATTTCCCCATCCATAAAGTAAGTTTGCTAATGGGACATGTGCTATATGTTAGGATTTCATGACTTTTGTGTGAAGATTAACTGGGATAATCCATGAAAATGCTTGAAAGATCATGGAGAATATTTAGTGTTATTATTTTAGTCATTTGCCTGTGCCCATATCTTACTATTTTAATGAGGTGAAACTATTTTTCTACCAAGCCAATATTTTTTAATCAGGGTACTGAGGAGGGTTCAGAGAATGGGATGGGGAAGCCTCATAGGACAATAAAATATTTTAATAAAGAGCTCAAGGATGAGATTGGGCACGTTAAAGTACTTGCTTAGCATGTGTGAGGCCTTAGGGATCCCTAGAAGAAGAGAGAGAGTTCTCCAAAGCCTTTTCCCATAGTACTATAACTATTGGTATAACAGATGATTCTACAATTAAGTTATATTTAAATTTGAAAGTGGGTTTCTTCTTCATATAAAACAATGTTAACATTCCATAAAAAGCTATGAGTCTGAAAACTGTAGCTTTATGCATGACATTCCTACAGGGTTTCTGGTGGATACATTCAAGCAGTCATCTGTATTGGTTGTTTCTGGAGTGTGGTTTTTCACATTTTTTTTTCTAGTTGCTTTTTTTGTATTTAAATTATGACATATTTTGAATGGATGGAATATTAGATTCCACATAGTGAAATTTCCTTTTCAAACCACAGTCCTGTGGGGTGGAGGGATGGCAGAGGGACAAGAGTACTCAGTTTAACTATATATACACATCTATGTACACACACACACACACACACACACACACACACACACACACACAGGGGCAGGTTGGGGGTTGGGCAGAAATCCTCCTGTTTTTGATCTCAGAAGCAGCTTAGGATGAACATGAAATGCATTTACTGAATATTGTCTTAGTGTTGCCTTCACAAGGTACTATGGACTGGGTGGTTTAAACAGTGCAAATTTACTTTGTCACAGATCAGAAGACTGCAAGTGGAGCTCAGAGAGCCAGGAATTCCTAGTGAGGGCCCCCTTCCAGGTCGCCACACACTGTGGGAGGGACAGCATGCTCACTGTCTCTCCTCTTACAAGGACAGTGGCCCCATCATAGGGTGTCCACTCCAGGATCTCACTGGACCCAATCACCTCCCAAAGAGCCATTCTAAATGCTACCACATTTGGAGCCAAGGTCCCAGCATATGAGTTTTGGGAGTGGAGAGGGAATAATTTATTCCACAGTAGAATTAGATAAAATACTATGTACCACACACTGCAAAGAATTGCAGGTCTCTCATATCAGGCCATGCCTTTCCCTCTCCCACTCTCTACTCAGAGAGCGTTGTTTCCCTCTTCCCTGTGTGAATTTTCCTAGCACTTTACCCTTTAGCATCACTTTATTTTTTCAAAGAACTGTGCTTTCATCCTTCTCTTAGAAACCGCCTCGTAGAAAATCTCGTAAGTCTTCAAACAAAAATGATTCCATGGTTGCCAGCACTAAATACTTCCCCTAAACATATTGACAAATAAACTGCTTTTGGGTCTCTGGACAGAAGAGGAAACAGAAATAACACCAGAAACACTGTGAAAATCCTCACTTTCTACAGAAATAACAAAGATTGTGATTGTTTTCAAAAGTTTCAGATTTCTAAAATTATTTGAGAAAAACACCTTTCCTGGCTCAATGTGTAAGATTTATTTTGATTCAGGAGTGTTAGATGGAAATTCTGAGTCCATAGTCATGGGGTCATTTTGTCCTCTGTCCAGAAAATGCAGTACTTAAGATGAATGCTTACTGCGAATTAAACTTTCAGCCATGTTCAGCCATCTCACATGATGGACTGGCCCCAAAAATACTGCCCCGTCTCACAAACTGAGAATTATGTCCTCCTTACACCCAAGTGTGAGACCCAGCCCCTCCTGACTATTCTGGAGAAAACACCTCATGGACTGTCCAAGGCCAGGCACATCGGAAAAAGCAAAACTCATCAACTGGAAAGAGCATGCCCTCTTCCAAGTAGCTCTAAATTACTGCAAGTGCCCCAAACAATGTTCTTAGTGAAGAAAGAGCTCAGAATACAACATACCAAGTTATTCACACAACAAAAATTGACAAAATAAACACTCTAAACAGCAGAGAGTCTTCAACTTCATCTTTAAATGTTTACCAAGTCTTTTCATGTGAATCCTTCTGGTAATGTTTATAACATAGCCATTGCTGTCACCCCATTCTGGATGAAGAAGTGACAGAGGAAGAGGGGAACTAAATGACCTGTTAGAAGTGAGGTCAAGAGTCAAACATAGATTTCCTTTCTTTGTCTAAGATTGAGTTACTTTTTTTATTTTTATCATGCCCCTGCTACTAGGGATGAGAAAGAAAATAAAACTCCAACAGTAAGTATGTAAAAGATCTAACTGGTGAAATGTAACCCTAAAATATATTTTGTGAGGGCTGAGGATTTAGCTCAGCAGTGTAAGTGCCTGCCTGGCAAGCACGAAGTTGTGAGTTTGATCCCTGGTACCAAAAGAAAAAAAGAAAAATAATAAATGAATAAAATATATTTTGTGATATTCTGCATTGCATCCTCAATCCTTTCTTCAGTGTTTGAATTGTGACACTCTAGCTGAGTGAAGATGATGCCTTACCACTGAGGTGACTTAGCTGCGAAGGGAACAGAAAAGCAAGGAATACAAAAAGAAGGAAAGATGGAAAGCAGGTGGCAAACCGGAGTTCCTCCACCTCCACTGGCCTCCTTCAGCAGAGCCCAGCAACACGAGGAAGCAAACGAAACAAGCCCTGCAGGTGAGAAGCAGCCTCACTTTGCAGCAGCAAAGCTTCCCCTTCCACACCGTCATCCTCTAAGACTCTAAGAAAGCCCAATAGGAAGCCTTCCTACATCAATTGCATTGTACCCTGATTTTATATAATAAAGGAACAAGAATAATATGTCTTTTTGTCTCTTCAAACAAATCCTAGTTGGTTATTTTGTTATTCTTATGTATGGCTTGGACCTAGAATAGCTCCCAAAGGCACACACAGGTCCCCAGTGCAAATGTGCAGAGGAGGTGGGGGCTTTCAGAAGGTGATTAGATCATGAGGGCTCTGCCCTCATCAATGGATTAATTTTTGATGAGTTCACAATTTGATTGGCATTATTGGGAGGTGATGGGAACTCAAGAGGTAGAACATGTAGTTGGAAGAAGTAGGCCACGTTGATGTAGCCTTTAAAGGGTGTATCTTGTTCCTTGCTTTCCTCTCCTCTCCTCTCCTCTTCTTCCCTCTCATTTCATCTCACTTCACCTCCCTTCTCCTCCCTTCCCTTCTCTTTCCTTCTCATTTTCTTCCCTTCCTTTCTTTCTTTTCCATTCCTTTCCCCTCCCCTCTCCTTTCTTGGTACTGTTCTGTACCATACAGGTCAGCCATGACATACTACCTCACCACAAGCCCAGAAACAATGGAGTCAAGAGACCATGGACTGAAACTCCAAAACTGTGAACCAAAATAAACCTTTTCTCTTTTAAATTTCTTGCCTTAATTATTTTGTTACAGTAAAGAAAACTGACCAACAGATAAATCATTTTAGCTGTATGGATCATTTTTATTATATATTATCTCTCTGGACCTACCATGCTCTTTTTGAATGCAGAATTATCACTGTCTTCTTTTTAAAAAGATCTCCCAAATGAAGTTATACAGATGATGCACAATTACTTTTGTACAATGAGAGTTTAAAACTTCCTTTATGCCAATGACTTTATTAAAAGGGTATGTTAATGCTAAACAATAAAAAAAAACTTGGAAAAAATCCCTAATGGAAATGAAAATGTACTGTTACAGAACACAGTATTTATCCCTAGGAAAAATCTCACCCATTTCTTCTGACAGGGCCAGTTATCCTGATTAGCACTGACCAAAGACCTGGTTTCTCTTCTCCTGTGAGCTGCCAGAGGCCAGTATCTGGGGTCCAACACTGGGGAGAGAAATTTGAAGATTATCATTAAGCCAAATTTGTTATTTTAACTATGTATATTATCCTGTAGAAAAAAATATTAATTCACAATTAGATACATAATATTTAGGATCAGGCTTAACATCTGAAAAATTAATTCTTCCCTTTGGAATAAAACTGGAAATTTACAGTCCTTTTAGTGATGCAAGATTTATGGAGTTTTTCAGCATTCAGTGATATTACTCACATACATAATCACTGGTTGATATTTTTATTACTGCATCAGAGTCAAAAATTTTACCAGTAAATTATTAATTCATGAAGTTCTAGGAAAGCTGACTATTTTTATTTTGATAGACACAAAAGCCAACCTTTATATATTTAATTTAAATATTTCAAAATTATGATCAATAGTACTTGTGGTCACCTATTTGAATTCAAGTCTGGTATTTTCTAGAAAATGGCACTGTTTGCCCTTTGTATTTATGAACGAATTGCTAACCTATGCTAAGATTCCCATGTTGAAGTCTAGCCCATGACTAGAAGAGCTTTTGATTGCCAACTGACCATGAGAGTCCCAGGACCAATGAAAAGCATGTCATCTTCACAATGACTATACACAAAATACTGAACAGGGGCTGGGGATTTAGTTGGGGCTGGGTATTTAACTCAGTGTCATAAGTATCTGCCTGGCATGTGCAAGGTTACAAATTCAATCCCTAGTACCAAAAAAAAAAAAAAAAAAAAAAAAAAGAGAGAGAGAGAGAGAAAACAATTGATTACTAGTGGCCAAGAGCAATGTTTTTGATGACAGATACTCTTTAAAACTGACCACAGAAATTGCATATTTACCTTCACATGGTTTCAACATGTGAAAACTTCCACATGGTTTCAGTAGTGTAAAAACTGTCATATTCTCTACCTCCTATGTCTCCTCTAAGCCCTTTCTTCGTGGGTCCCAGTCTGCAGACTGTGATTGCCTGAGATTTCTGACCATTCCACTGCTGCAATGCCTTGCTCAAGCTTAGAGGCCCTGGTACCTTCCTCTGTGTTGCCTAAGAAAAGGAGTGAACTTCCTTCAGGATTTCTATACACACCTAAATATAGTGAAAGACCCTTTTGTTCCAAGGCACTACCTCAAGGCATTGCCCCAAAATTTTCACTTGAAGTTTTCCATTCTCTAAAAACAAAGTTCCCTCTACCAACAATAAATGTTTAAGTCTTCTCTGGAAGATAACTTTTCATGTTAGGTTACTTAGGAAATCTGCAAATGTTAGGCATTTTTTTTTAATGAGAGTAACCCTCTAACACTACACAGAGGAATGTGAAGGCTAATTTTGCCTGTAAAACCCAGAACTTCGGTAAGAGCAAGGAATCTCAGAGTAACATGCCTAGAATATCCAGATAAATGCATTATCAATTTTTTAAAAATTACATTCCCCTGCAAGTATTGTCATTCAGCATTTTGGTGAGGAAACAAGGTATACAATCAGCCCATTAATAGTCCTCTCTGCACCAACATTGCCTATATCTCTATGCCTATCCAGAGTGAATATACGATAAATATTTCAGCACAGACCCAAAGGGCTCCATTGTAGAACACTGTGGGCCCCAAGAAGGTGGCACTTACTTGCTGAGCTCCACAGAACTGTCATGTGAGTCTCTGAAACAAGTCAACAGATCTGAAGACCACAAGCTCCATGGAGAGACTGGCTCACTCATGTCAGTATTGATCTGAGGTTTGCAGTCTCAGTCAACTGATGCCCTATGCTTTAAACACTTCGACTGAATGATAAGCTAAAAGTTATGTTCCTGTGAGGTTAATGATTTCAAGTTGAAACTTACTGTGGGGCTTTAATGGTTGTTATATGAATCAGTAAAGTAAGTTCATCTTACAAATTTCATGTGGCCTCACTTTAAAATTTTGTGATCTCAAATGCTCAAACGGTTTCTGGGGACATTGTGTCCTTTAGCCATTTATCACACATATTTGTGCATAGTTCTTGGCAAAAAGGTAAATACTCCATGTTATGGTTTGTGTCTAGATATCCCCCAAAGCCTCATGCAGTCATAGGGCTTTTTCAGAGGTGAGTGGATCTACAGTATGTGATGCTGGGACTAAGAGTATATAATTAGTAAATCAGTCCACTGATTGCTGTGGCATAGTTCTGGCTATGCTAGGATTAAGAATGTGAGTGCTATATCTGCCCTAGGGTATGCAGCCTGCATACAATATAAATGACAGAAAGAGGTTTATCTCCCCCAACCTTTGTTGCTTTGCTACTTTCTGACCACCATGAACTGTTCTACTCTGTGATGGCCCTCTGACAAGTCATTCTGCCTTGGAGCAGCAGACAATTACAGACTGAAACCTCTACAAACTGTGAGCCAAATCAACCTTTCCTATTTGAACCTTGAATGTCAGGTATTTTGTCTCAGCAATGAGAAAAGTAAGACACTCCACATTTTTTTTTTGTCTTTGTTTCAGTTTTATGGGTACCAGGGATCAAACTCACGACTGCCTGCTCGCAAGGCAGGCGTTTATGCCACTGAGCTAAATCCCCAGCCCTGACACTCCACATTTATTGTGATGACTTTCTTCTCTCCTCCCTTCTCCAGGAGAGAAGCCAGCAGTCTTGGGAGGAAATTGTGGAGTTTTCTCTCACTCTGGTCCTACCTTGTGACAACCAGTGCAACTTCTTGAGAACACTAAAGGAAAGCATCAAATACACAGGCATTGTGTTTTAGAGCTTATTTCATTAAGAAAACAGTCTTAATCGATACAGCTCAAAGTCTTAAAAATCAGTAGTATTCAGATTTTCACCCAACTCTAGGACAGGATGTCACTACTCAGAACCAACTGATAAGAAGTTAACACACCTATAAATGCACAAACACAATAAAAAAAAAAGAAATCCACAAACTTTTAACTTTTATCTTCTGGAGCTTTTCTTTGATTTCTGTTCCATTAGCTTCCTCCTGAATCAGCTTCCAAAACTCTTCATAGTCATTCATGTTCTTCAAGATCCCACATTTGGTCAACTCATTTTGCAACCCTATAATCTTATTTTCAAAAAGAAATATATATATATAGTGACATTTTTAATGACCAATTCCAAGTCGAAAAATGATTGAAGAATTTAGGTTGCTTCCTACCCATCCAAATATCATGTCTAGATAATCTGCAGTTTATCTGATCAGGAAAGGATTACTTTCAACAATAACTGACACTAAAACAAGTAACACCTCTCTGCCCCTAATTTCTATGGATTCATTTACATTTTAAAATTAAAAAGAGCAATATAAAAGCAGGTCTTTTTAGCTCATTAATAGCCACTAGGAGTTACTGTGTGGGAATTCCTAGAAGAGCACTAGTGATGAGGAAGCCACATGGAGAAAGAAATGGGACACAAATTCCATGACAATAGAAGGAAGGTGAACTAAAAATTCAGTTCCTAGTTCCATCTCCCTGTGACCTGAGGAATCTGGAATTATCCACCATGGATTTTAAACCAGTTGCTATGTGGGCTATCTTGCTTGGAATAAAATGTGGTATAGACTCTGATTTAACAGAAAATAGGCTCTGGGAACTCCCACTCTTGCAAATATAATTTCATCTCTCAGACTCTGAAGTAGGAGCCCAAATGCCAAGGCCAGCTTCAGGAAGGACCATCTAACCTGCCCTTAAACACTGCCCCAGGACAGTCCTCTAGGTCCCAGGGACTTTAAACTTGAGAGTCTCATTTTCTATTTTCCAAAAGTCAAAATTACAATAAATTTAATCATAGCTCTAAATGACTGTTGTATGTGATTCTAGAGCCAGACAACTGAGCACGGGGTTGAGTCACAGGCAGACTGCTGAAGAGGCAGAGACAGAAGCAGCTGTGGATCCGGGACCCCAAGTTCCTTTCCTGGCAGAGGAAATGGGATTCCCTGAGCCTGCCAGTAAGCTGGGACCAGCGTCACTGGTGGCTGTGAATCTCGCTTTTTGAACACTGGCCCAATACTAAGTTCAGTTTGAGTAAGTGGACCCCGTCATCGGTGACTCTATTCTAGTCTCTGGTACCAATGACAGTCTATGAACTTATATAACAAACTAATGGCAAAAAGCAGGCATCACAGGACCCTAAAAAGAACTGGCAGCCAATTTTTGTTTTGTTTTGTTTTGTTTTGTTTTTCTTTGGGATGACAAAAACGTAGTTCAAGTTTACCAGTGATTCTGCCCTGGTCTAATTTCTAGAGCAAAAATGAAAGGTTTATGTGACCTGGTTTCATGTGGAGACCTATACCTCAGAGACTCGGGGCGGCCCTGCGGGGAGGACCCTCCCTCTCTCTGCAGGAAGCGCTTTCATCCTTCTGTGACTTTTAAACGACTAGGAGATCCTTGAGAGACTCCTGAGGCATCCGGATAAGGAGGGGAAGTTGGGGTGTGGTGTCCCTTGGGTCTCCCCTAGCGTCCAGCCCGGGCCTAGGCAGGCCAGAGCACTCTGGGGAACAGGGTCCCCCGAATTCCAGGATCAACCAGACCACTCAGTGCGCTCATCCTCGGAAGGGTGGTGTGGAGCCAAGAACCCCCGGGCCTGGAGAGGGCTGTCCGTGTCCTCAGCCCCACGCATTCGGGTCCTACCAGGTAAACGCGGGACCGCGAAGGCGACCGCAGATGGCCCGGCCGGTGCAGGGCTTGGCGCGCGGACTTGGGCACCCCTCGCGGCGCTGACTTCAAACCCGGGTCAAGAAGGTGGCCAGCCTGGGCTTTGGTGGTAGCTGGGAAACAAAACTGCAAACAAATGACAAGTAAACACCCAACCACAGGAAGCCATTAAGAAGAATGGGCGCTAATGAGCGCGCCGCGGGGACCCGCCGCCGGGGGCGCTCGGGCGGGCAGGCGGGGCAGGCAGGCGGGGCGCAGGGCCCGCGGCCGGAAGCTGCTGCGCCTCCGAGGCTGGGGACCTCGGGGTCGGGTCCCTGCCTCACTCTCCTGCTCCAGGGTAAGGGGCATCGCGGATCGCTCCGGGGAGCTGCAGTGACCGCTGGACCCGTTCCTCGGGGGTCTTTTGAAGTCGTTTCTCATAGAAAGCAACTTTTGAATCACCGGATGCTCCTGGGAGCCCCTCAAACCGCAGATCACTCTTGTAAAATTGATTTTCTTTAAGGAGCAGTGTTTTGTCAAGCAAACACTGTCGTATTTTCCGACTAAACTATTTAGGACAACCGAGTTGGTTTTAGTTTTTAAATTACACATTTTGTTTTGTTTTGATTCGTTTTGTGCGCCTCTCCCCCAGCCTCCCATACACAAGGCCTCCATACTGAGCTAATACCTTTTTTTATTTTTTTATTTTGAGACTGGTTCTCGCTAAATTGCACGGGCTGGGATCAAACTTGAGATCCTCCTGCCTTAGCCTTGCAGAGTGTGGGATTATGGGCGTGCGCCACCACCTGCGTAAATGACAGCTCTTTCCAGCATCCCGAACTCTGGCGCGGCTCCTGGCAGCTCCCACCCGGCCGCCGGCTCCCGCCGCTCTCGTCCTCACGCAGCGGCGCCCAGCGGTCAGCCTCGGTCCCTGCGGGGCCGAGAACGTCCACTCCCGCCCTGGGTACCCGACCTCTCTCTGGGGCAGACCACGTCCTCCAGGTGCAGCGGACCACACACCGAGAGAGGCCCAGGAACTTAGAGTAACGCAAGGGAACTGCGACCCACTGTGCCTTTTATGCGTGTTTACTTGAACATTTTAGGAGGTACGTGGGAAAGTGGTGTCAGGGTAAATGTCAGCTTTACACTAGGTTTTTGAGCAAGCGTGTATTCGCTAAGCGAGAATTGCTTTTCCACGGTCTCCTCGTGTGCAATAAATTCCCTTTGTGGGAAGATTAGAAGGCATCATCATAGATACACTGGCAAAAATAAGGAGAGATGACAACCACCTTAACTGACTAACCCTAGAAAGAAACCAGACTAACATGAGTAGAAAGAAAGGTGACTCTACTGTCTTCTGGGGGGTATGTGCGTCCCTTTCCTTATGTTTCTGTCAATTTTGTCCTTTCTCAATGAGAATTATTCAAATATATTTTCATTTGTATATTTTATGAGCTGTTCCCTGAACAAAATCTAGGATAACATGATTAAGTTCCTATAATGAAATCACCACCTCATAGACTAAATGAATTGGAACGCAAAGTATATGACTATAATACAGAATATACAGATACTGATTGTTATTTTTAGTTTTAAAGCAACAGCATTGGTCCTGAGGCTAAAACATGGATCACATAGCCTTTTATAGATCTAAAATTTTGGATCCCCTAGTAACTTTGGTTTCAAATATCACATTAATATATGTGCCTGCTTTTTAAAAAAAAAACTAATTGTTTAGAATAGTAGAAAATAAAGTCACAGTTTTCTGTTTCAACTTCACTTCCGGTCAGTTTCCTACAAACCATAGCCATTTACCTGCTTCAGTTAAGTATTACATTAGAAAAGCAGAGTCTCAAACAGAGTAATCATCCAACTGAACAACCTGCGCTCCAGAAAAAGATCTGCAGCATTCCACTTTTTTGTCTTTTTCTTTCTTTAGCCATTTTTTACTTTTTTCCTTTGCCTTACATTGTGAGTGGATCTGGCCTCTTTCAGAACACACAGGTGTCCAGGTAGATTTTCTTTACACAACTCTCAAATCCCCTGGAAGCTTTTCCCTTATTTTGGGGGAATAACTCACTTGCATTGATTCCCCAGAATGTGTCACATCAGACCTTCAACCATATAAGCAGTTCCATCCTTCTCCCCAGGGACTCCTCCATTCACCCCTCAGGGGTCCTCCAGAGCTGGCCATTGGCTTAGACGGAAGGCCAAATCATGCAAACACTGAAAGTCAGTGAAAAGGTAATTACTGTGGGAAATGTTAACTGTCAGCTGTTAGAAATTGTAATGTTGGGGCCAGGGGTTTAGCTCAGCTGCATAAGCACATGTCTGGTAAGCACAAGGTCATGAGTTTGATTCCTGGCACCCCCCCCCCAAAAAACTATATATATATATATATATATATATATATATATATATATTCTACATACTCGATTTTCTCTATACCAAACTCATCATCAATTATGACCCTTCCTTTCAAATTGATATTTTGAAGGAATGTGCAAAAATATATGTAAATACAAAATTATTTTTAAAAATATTTTGAGATTATAACAAACTCCCCCAAATTTGGAAAAGGTTAAAAAAGCAAATGGCAATTTTTGTAGGTATCAGATAGTGACATTGTAACTGGCCAATCTAGGTGGATATATTTAGGGTGATTCACTCTTTACTTATTTTAATAGAACTAGAACCCAAAACTAAAACTTCAAGTTGAAAGCTAGTGAAGTCACGTGTTGAATTTCTGCCAATTATAGTTACAGATTTCAGGGCTGGGGATATAGTTCAGCAGGCACAGTCTCTACCTGGGAAGTGTGACCACTTCAATTCCTAGTACCCAGAATTAGAGATTTCTGTCCAGTGGAAAAGATGACCATAAAAGTAGTAGTTTATCCTCTTTGTAGGGGACTCTGTGCCTCACATCCTCTTTTGAATCAGTGTTAGCATTTAATTTACCTCCTTATTAACTGTTTAGTTGGATTGCATTTATTTATGTATATATGTATGTATGTATGTATTTATTTATTTATTTATTTATTTATTTATGGTATTACTCGGAATCGAACCCAGTGGCTATACAGTGAGCTATGTTCCCAAATCTTTTTTTATTTTTTATTTGCCATGGGGTCTTATAAATTGCCCAGGCTTATGTTTATTTTTTTCTTGTGTGAGAAGCATGTTTTTCACTTTTTGAAAAGTGTCTAAATTAAACTTGGTAGAGGAAGTTTTTCATGTATAAATCCATCATTTCTATTCCTTCGTCCCTAGGTCATCATCCTGATTCTACCGCGTACCACCGGCAGAGAGAATTAACCTTGCCCTTCTACTGCGTGGGCAGTTGTGAGGTTTAACACAATCTGTCATTCTTGAATATATATTGGGGTTTAGCAAAGTTATATACTCATGTCTATGCATATTATCAATTCATGTACATTTTGAGTGTAAAAATTTTTTTTTACTTTTATTCTTTTTAAATGTCATTTTCTTAGGAATCTTTTTTCATTATATACAAAGATCTTTATAATGTTGTTTAGGTAAGCCTAATTGCTGTTTCTCTGATTATATCATTTATAACTCCAATAGGCAAAAATGAACATTTCCTCCACTACTGAGATGAGCAAAGTCTTCCATGAAAACATCAAGCCCCTACCTACTCATCTCCCTTGTATTAGAGCAAGGTACATAAGGTGTCAATCAAAATGAAGGCCCTAATTGCGTATCACATCCTTTCTCCACAGTGTTTTGCACAGATTTGTTAGATATTAAACTTACGTAACTTTGGCTTTCTTTCTGAGGTAGATAGCTGGCCTTCTTTCTGGAGGGAATGGCTGAGTCCTGAGTCTAGTAATTCCATAAAGGTCACTGTCACCAGTGTCCTCTCATCACCTCACAGTGCCAGGAAGATGCACAGTGAGGTCTTTCCCCAGAATTGCCTGTGGCCCCAAGCTGAGTTCTTTCCCTCTATCCCAAATACTGAGTATCCTTCTCTCCTTAGCAGCCACTAATATCGACTGTATCTGACCACCTGTGCTGCTGCCACCTCTCTCTCCTTGTATGGCCCTGGTCACCCTTCTTTGGGGATGGAGGCGCCACTGGTATCACAGCCAGCCTGACTCCCCAGGCAGGTCAGAGCAGGTGCCAACTTCGTGCTTACTGCTTTGAGCTTTGAGCTCCTGTCCTTTCTCAGAGGAAGGAGGAAGACCCTTGTTCCAGATGCTCACACAACCTGGCTCCTGCTGAAGGGAAGCTCTGTTTGCTAGAAGACTATTTATTTTAAGGCCCAAGCAGCTCAATTAGAACACACTGTGAAGCCATCCAACATCAAAAGTCAAGTTTCAAACTGTGTTTGAACACAGTCTTTCTTTGCCTGTTATCACCTACTAAAGACCTTGTCCTCAGAGTCTGAGAAATGAAAAGAAAATCTGATGGCATCCACTTAAGAAGCTTACAGCAGCTAGTGAGACTTAAAGCCCCTCCCACTCCACTTTGTACATCTCCCAGCAGGCGCAGCTGACTCCATTCCTACACTAATGCATCTCTTGAAATCTGGAAACCGACGCTGAAGGGGTGACAGCCAAAAAAGCCTAATATTTAAGGTGCCAACATTCAACTTTCCCCTGCCCAGTCTCGGCACACTTTACACTCTGCTCTGAATCTCCTAATAAATGCAGGTTGAGTTTCTACCAGATGAGAGCATGTAGGAGCCCCGCTCCTCCCTCCGCACACACAGGAAACATACCTTAGTCTTTGTTCCACTCACTGCTAGTTAGCAGAAAACAGACTCATTTGGTGATTAAATTTGCCAAGGACTGTTAGAATATACAATGATCTTGGCAGTGTCTCTTCCAGACAGCAAAGGGTGGGGAGCAGATGAGGGTCTGTACTTGTAACTTGTACCCCTTCATCTGGTTGCCAGGTGCTGTGCCTGGTCTCTCATCTTTGTCAGGGAGATTTAAAAAAATAATGAAATGATTTTTTTTTTTTTTTTTTTTTTTTTGGTACTGGGAATCAAACTCACGACCTCACTCTTGCCAGGCAGGCACACATGAGCTAACTCCATAGCCAAATGAAATGATTTTTAAAGTACAATTTTTCACACCTTTGTTTCTGAGAAAAATGAAGTCACAAAAAACTTAAATTTTAACCTTTAAAATATTCAATGAGTCAGTCTCAGAGACAATTTT